CCCCTATCTGTTTTGGTTTAGTTTTCCTTTTGGTGCTTGTAATTTTTGTGTGTGTGCTCTGTGCTTTGTTTTATTTTTTGTTCCAGGTTTGGTTTTTTTAACCTTTTGATTTCATTGTGTTGTTGTTGTTTTGTTTTCTTTTTTAATTCTATCACTTCTCCATCTCTTATACGTAGCTTATGTCCCTTTTAACACCCCCCTATCAGCCTCCTCCTCTGCCCCCTTCCTCTGCCTCGCCTTCTGCTCTTCCAAATGGCCCTCAGTCCCCCAAGCAGCCAAAGGAACCCCTCTCCCATCGCTTCAACGAGTTCATGACCTCCAAACCCAAAATCCACTGCTTCAGGAGCCTAAAGCGTGGGGTAAGTTCTCTGGGTGTGTCTGTTGGCTTTCCTCTCCTCTTCCATTGCACGTTCTGTTGTGACGTTTGGGGAAACTGAGGTGTACGTCCACCTGTGCCTTCCTTCCTTCCTCGTAGAGGGCCATAGTGGTGTGTCAGACCTGTAGCTTGGCAATGAGATGCCAAGAAGTAGAATTCAACACGGAGTCAAAAACCGCCACGGTGAAACCACAAAAACGTCGCACAGATCAGGAAATGAAAGGACCACTTTATACTGCACTGGGATCCTGGGTCCAGTTCTGGTCACCACAGTGCAAAAAAGATGCCGAGACCCTAGAAAGAGGGCAGAGAAGAGCAACAAAGGCAATCTGGGGTCAGGAATCTAAATCTCATGGTTTAATTTTGGGGGAACTAGGTAGGTCTAGTCTAGTGAAAAGAACTAGGGGTGATATGATAGCAGTGTTCCAGTTCTGGAGAAGAGGGGGTCCCCCTGTTCTCCAAAGCACCTGAAGGCAAGGCAAGAAGCAACCTAGGAGAAATTTCCTGATAGTGAGGACAGTTAACCAATGGAACTCCTTGCCTCCAGAAGTTGTGGGTGCTCCATCACTGGAGACTTTTGAGAAGAGGCTGGACAGCCCTTTGTCTGAAATGATATAGGGGCTCCTGCTTGAGCAGGGGGTTAGACTAGAAGACCTCCAAGGTCTCTTCCAACTCTGTTTTTTCTGTTATTCTGTTTGGCCATCAAAACAATCAAATCTGAGCAGTGTCTCCGTGCTTCATTTAGTGACATTCAAAGTTGCAACGGCACCAAAAATGGTGCTTTCCCCCCCCCCAATCATCATTTTTAGTGACTCTCCACTTGAACCTTTGTGGTTTCTGTTCCGATGGATGTTATTGACTCCTTCCCTTATCATATAATTGTCTGTTTTGCATCCAGAAATGTGTTTTTAATCATTTGCCATGTTTTACTTTTGATTCTTTCTTGAAGTTGTGCGTTGTGGGCGCACAATCCCATTGTGATCGTCCAACTTAATACTTTTCCAATCTGCCTGCCACAATGCCTAAAAAAAAAAAGATTAATTTCTTCCTTTTTTCAGCTTTTGGGGATGTTGATTTTATTTTAGCACTATTTCAGCCCTGGCTTGCTTGCAGATTAATAGCGTGTGATTATTTTTCTCTGCAGTCCAAATTCGGTAGGTACTTGGTGTTTTTAGAAATAAAAGTGAAATAAACTGTGTTGACCAAGGGCTGCTTTTCGTGTTATGATGTTCACACCCACTGAAACCCCACCCAAGCTGGAAAATTTAAGATGGATTTCACTTATTTGGGATTAAACTGTTAGCTGGTGTTTGGTAGGACAGGATATTTAAAACGGCCACATTTAAATTGGATGGAGTATAATTCAGCATAAAACAATTTCTGCGAAACTCAAAAAAACGCCCTGCCTCTAAAAAGTTAGCCTGTCAGGGAATAAACTGCCAGACTAGTTTTCTTAATGCGAGGAGTGTTAAATTATTAGTAGTAGTAGTAACTGGGGCACATTTGGGATTTTCCTGTGACTGGATAAATTATTCCGTTTTCTGGCTTGGAATAACCCAGTATAGTAGATCAGAGTTAGTGACTGTTTAGTATTTAGCTAGTTAATTTTTTAGTTAGGTGTTTGTTTTTTTCCCCCTGGTGTAGCTGTTTTCTCTCTCATGCTCATTCCTCCTTCAGTTCTGGATTATGAAGAATTCTGCTCAGAATTTGCATCCAAAGCAGATGCTTCTCGTATTAAATGCTTCATGGGGAAGGGGTGTCTCTGTATCCCCTTTCTCTTGCTCAGATTTTTTTCTGAGACCCAGGGAGGACCAGTACAGGTAGTCCTCAACTTACGACCATATGGTCATAAGTCAGGCTGATCCTTAACTGAGCCATTGCGTGCCCAACCTGATTTTATGACTTCTTTTTATTTACGATGGTCATTAAGCAAATTCACACAGCCGTTAAGGGAAATCCATGGTCATTAAGTCCACCCATCATCTGCAGCCAGGCATGTCTCATTTAACAGCGGCATTGATTAGCGCTGGACGTTCTGGTCCTGATTCACGGTCATAAGCCGAGGACTATCTGTGTTAGATCGTAACCTGGCCACCCTCTTCGGGGAATCCTGGCTTGCAGTTCAGAGGATCTTTGTTCATTTTGTTTCAATCACGCTCCAGCTAGAGGTAACCTTTATATTGCTGTAGGAAGAGTAAATGTAGATCTCTTTATTTTTTTTGTTCTTCCTCCTCCTCCTCCTCCTCCTCCTCCTCTTCTTCCTCCTCCCTTTTAATACCTGTATTTTCTTTTGCTGACTCAGCAACAGTCTCAGTCTTTGTACTTTGACAAAGAACACATGAAGAGGCGATTAGGCAGAGCCACCTATGCCGTGGAAGCTAGGGAGTACATTGTAAGTCCCATGGATGGTGTGGACGGCCCAGTCCGTCATTGGCGCAACCACTGACTTCTTTGCAGCGGGGCAAGGGGAGGGGGCGAGCTCCAATTTGGCCCTCCGCAACCCCGGATCGGTCTGGAGATTGCAAAACCCCAAATTCTGATGGAAGGCGGAGCTGCCTTCCACCCACCCCTTTGTGCCTTACGAGGCTCTTCCACGGCACCGAGGCGCCCCGATAATCTTGGCCTAACCTTTCGGAAACCGCCCTCTTGCCCGCTGTAAACGAGAGTCATGGTTTGCCACGTGCCAGTGACACCCAGATCCGCCGGCTTCTCCATGCGCTGCCGCGTGTTCTTCGTTGCTTGCGGCTTCTCCTCCATCATCGGCTCCCCGCGAAAGGATCCCTCGGCTGCATCCTGACAACATGCGCCCCGGAGGATTTTGCCCTTGGTTTCAGGTTCAAGAAAGGGGGCTTGTGAAAAATCAGAGCCTGGCCCACCCCTTTCCTCTCCGGATCTGTCGCAAACGGCCATCGGTTGGGGGAAAAAACCCGAATAAATGAAGTGGGAGATATGGTTGGAAATGGCGCAACTGAACTTGATCCTCAAATTTATAGCTTGCGATTACACAGACCTTCAACCTCGGCTGCTAGAAGAGGTGTGGACTTCAACTCCCAGAATTCCCCAGCGGGTTGAGGAATTCTGGGAGTTGAAGTCCACTCATCTTCAAGGAGTCCAAGTTGATAAACACATGACTTTTTTTTTTCTTAAGCAGAGGACCTAAAGGGCTTTGACATTTGCTTATACCTTTTCCCCCCCCCCTGCAATTTCTCAGTGAAATCCAGGATTAGATCATTTATTTGAGGAGTAACTTTAGGCATCAGCCCTGCCTAGCCAATTTTGCTATTGTTGGTTTTCCCACCAGGATACTTTGTCTAGTCAGTGCAAGCCGTATAATTCAACTGTTGAATTTCTGGCGTGCATCGCCCAGGAGATTAAATCCCAAACATGCTAAACTGGTTGGGTTAAAGCCAGTTTAAGCCACCCCAAAATACAGTGTCATCCAAAGAAACCAAGGTTAAGCGTGGAAAACCAGAATCTGGTGATCAGGTTGCTCGTAACCAAAGAATTAAAGCAGCATCCAGGTAAAAAAAAGACTGAAATGAGTTTCATTTTATTCATTTATTTATTTTACAGGGCTATGAAAAACCCAGGAAGTTAAAGGAATTCTAAAAATTAACCACAGCCCAATCAGTAGAACGAAAGTTTTTTTTTTTACAGTAATCCAACCAGTTTATTTTTAACATAATTTGTATTCAAATTCTCATAGTAAAATACAAATGAAAAGAAAGATAACGGGAAAAAGGGGAAGAGAAAAAAGGGAGAAAGAGAAGCGTGGGAAAAGAAAGGACGTAACACTGGAGGTTTTTAAGAAGAGATTGGACAACCATTTGTCTGAAATGGTGTAAGGTTTCCTGCTTGAGCAGGGGGTTGGACTAGAAGACCTCCAAGGCCCCATTCAACTCTCTTATTCTGTTAAGAAAAAAGGATTAACTTCCAACTTTTTTTCAGCGCCGTAAAATAAAAATAATAAAATACAGCCTCAATATTTCAGTTTCACAGGCTTGGTACACATGAACCCCTGCTATAACAACAAACCCTTTGGTTTTTTTTCAATCATTCCATAGGAGCTTTTTTTTGGACCTCGTATGGCGTAATATTTTTTTACTTTCAGCCACCTAAGAATCTGGAGGTCCATTTTCTTTATTCAATTCCTTCTTTTCACCACGGATGCAAAGTTTTTAAGACCGCATTCTGGAACCTTTGGGGCAGTCATGTTGACAGTTTAAAAGCCTCCACCGTAGATGCAAAAAAAAAAAAAAAAAAAGCCAAAAATCAGAAGAAGAAAAAAAACCACCCTGCAAAACAACACCTTTGGTCTCGTTTCCGCCTTCCTCCTCTGTATTTCTTTCCCCTGCCTCATTTTGTAAGCTGTAGATATGCTGTATATATGTGTGGTCCAACCCGTAGCATCTATGGAGTGACCGGTAAAAGAGTGGCCTTGCTGGATGGCAAATTCGTAGCTTTGGCGTCGTTTTTTTTTCCTGTCTAGAGAGTGACCAGCTTTGACTCATAGCGCATGCTTCTCGTAGGGATGTGTTCTTTCCTCTGGCAATCATCCCTCGTAGTTTTGATAGCCTGCATGTAGCTGTTGGAGATGTGTAGTAGCCTTGTGTCTTTGTAGACGTTCACAGCCATTGGGGGGGCGAGGGGGGGTGGGACAGCAAAGGAGATGCTCGGATTTTGAGGACCGGCGTTGAGTGACAGGGACCGAGAGACGCTCACCCTTCAGTCTTCTGCAAGTCAATTGCATTTATTCTTTTTAATGCAAAAGGCCATGATAAAATGGACTTTTGCACAGAGGTTCAACCCCTGGTGGGTTCAGGTAAGTGAGGGGGGGAGATTATAAACTCACGTTGCAGCTTGCTAGGTGGGGTTGGAAACACCAGGGGACTGGGTCCATGGTTTAGATCAGGGGTAGTCAACCTTGGCTCTTTTATGACTCGTGGACTTCAACTCCCAGAATTCCTGAGCCAGCTAAGCTGGCTCAGGAATTCTGGGAATTGAAGTCCATGAGTCATAAAAGAGCCAAGGTTGACTACCCCTGGCTTAGATGATTTATTATTTATGTCCCACCTTTATTATTATTATTTTTTTTTGGTAAACAACTCAAGGTTGCAAACATACCTAATACTCCTCCTTTCTCCTATTTTCCCCCGCAACAACAATCTTGTGAGGTGGGCTGGGCTGGGAGAGAGAGGGACTGATCCAAAGTCTCCCAGACAGAGAAATTACCTCGATGGAAATACGTAAGATTTGTTCACTAAGCAAAAGGGATCAAAACCTTCTTTAAGTCCAGAGCATAACAAGATAACATTCAGAAGCAACTCAGGTAGATTTATAAGATTCCAACTTGGTCTCAGATTTTTTATTTTAATTTTAAACTATTCTGATCCACTTGGATAAATTAAAATACACGGATGTGCTAGCTCATTCCATGCAGGGAAGAGGTTTGTTTATTTTTAGAATTTGGTTTACTCTCAGCATTTATTTTTAGATATTTCAGCAGGATATTATCTGACCTATTTTAAAATCCAGGACAGGAAGCCCTATTTGTGAATCTATTAAAATGTTACTGGCAGATTTAAAAAGCCTAAAATTGCACCGGCCATTCCCATGTTTTGAACGATGGCTGTAAAACCCATGTCTGTGGTGAACACATCACTAAGCTGGAGTTTTAATTGCTTTATGTAATAACGATCCATTTATTTCACTGGCTTCATCTAAGGCTAAACTTTTAGCTTATATATCTATGCATTCTATTGAGGTCTTTTGGCTGTGAATTAATACAAAAATCATACTTGGAAGCAACAAACACGATCCTAATAATTACATTTTAAAAGTTGGCATTAAGTTAAGGGGTCTAAACCAGAAGGAGTCACCTTTGAATATCAGCTCTCAAGTCACCTTTTTTGCAGAGGCTGGTTAGCATGGAAGAGGCAGGATAAAAAAAAACCAAAAAACACTGAATTTGTATCTTCTGGCTATTGGGAGACCAAGGCAGTATTTTTTTTGCCCCTTTACGATCTTGTGAACCTTTGCAAAGTTGTGTAACAAGCAGTGTCCATTTGCACAAGCTGAGCAGACTCTGTGCGTGTGTCCAGCTCATTCGCATCGTTTTATTAGTAACCGTTTGAAGCTTTGTCTTCTTTTTCTGATACGTTCTTTTCTTTCTCTCTCTCTCTTTTTACCCCCCTTCTCCGTCCTCCTCCGTTTTAACACGAAGCTTTCCCTGAAGCTGGTAAGCACCATCCCAGCATGAATTTTTTTTTAAAAAAAATCACCATTTTATGTGTGTGACTTGCAGCTTATCCAAACAGCTACATTGAAAAATAACTTTTTTTTCCTGTTGTCTTTTTTTTCTGTGTTTGTGTTTGTGTGTGTTTATTTATTTTATTTTATTTTGGCCGTTATCAGATAACTTTGAATATGCAGGTCTGGAATTTAATGGAGGTGATCCCATTTTAATGCTGCTAATGAACTACTAAGAATTAACTTGTGGTGTTTCAGTTTAATTAGATGGCTTTCAGAAAGCTGCATGATGCAGGCTGTAAAAACATAGACAGTAGGCTTGTCATTCTGAACTGACAGACAGCCTTGAAACAGATTTAAAAGAATTTAATTTGGGTGAAAAAGACACTTTTCTCCATCCACAGGTGGGGACAGCGAAGAAGATAAAGTGTTGAACTCAATGAACAACAGAGAAAAGTCTGGCCAATTCAGATCACAATTTGTTAAAAAAATAAATAATGCTCCCAAATGAAAGAAGAGTTAGGATAGCAAGTTTTCGGATTGCACAGCGGGGTTGTTGTTTTTTTGGGTTTTTTTTGCAAATTCCGAGAATTTGTTAGTTAAAGGTTTGCTATCCTAGTTATTCCAAATTGGCAAGGAACTGAAAACATCCATCTGCTGATTTTTCCCCCCAAATAAAATATGTAGTATCACTTTCACTGCTAAAAGGTTTTCCTCCTATCTGAAGCAGCCAACTGTCCAGAAAAAAACGCAATATTTGATACCAAAGCACCTGAGGGCAGGACAAGAAGCAACGGATGGAAACTAATTCAAGGAGAGAAGCAATTTGGAACTAAGGAGAAATTTCCTGACAGTGAGAACCATCAATCAGTGGGCGATCTAAGAGATTTTTTCGGACCCTACCCAATGGAGAACTAAAGTATCCTCAGGAATATATAAATTGATCGTCCTTGATATAAGCCTTGGCGGATCCTTCTCTGTCCTTCTTTGAGTTCAAACTGATCACCTCTTTCCCAGTCTTAATAACTGGACCCAACAGATGCTGTTGCCATCTTGGTTATCCATTTGTCTTGGTCTGCTAGCAAACTACGTTTTTCAGCCTTTCATGTGCAAACTCCCCAAACTAATGCTATTTAACCCCATCCCAGCAAATTTCAAAAGAATAACTCCATTTAATTCCAAAAACCGAGGCTGGTGATGAGGGATTTTCACGGCGGGTTCATCCTACATTCCAGCTCAAAGAGAAGGCTTGATCAAATATCTTCACGGTGAATAAGTTGGTGGGTTAAGTTTGGCACTACAGGTAGTCCTCGACTTACAGCCGCAATTGAGCCCCAAATTTCCGTCGCTAAGCGAGACAGTTTGTTAAGTGAGTGTTGCCCCATTTCATGATCTCTCTTGCCCCATTTGTTAAGGAACTCACTGCAGTTGTTAATTGAGTAGTACAATCCTAAGTCATTTTTTTTCAGTGCCGTTGTAACTTCAAACGGTCACTAAACGAACTGTTGTAAGTCGGGGATTCCCTGTAATTATTTGTTGTTCTGAAATTTTGTCAGGCTTGGAGCTGCTTGGATCAGGAATTCTGGGTGGAATAATCAGAGGCAGTTCAGGTGGTTAATAGAGCGATCAAGTCAAACTCAGACAGTTGGTTGACTGGCTTGTCGATGGACAGCATCCGGATAAGTTGGAACCAAGCAGGCCGGCCTCAGATTAAGCGTCCCTGGCGTTTGTTAGCTGGGTTGAACAACCAGAAGAATTGTCACGGGAGCCTGCTTATTTTCCTAACCAGAAGGGCTTCAATTCTGCATGAGGAAATTCAAAGCCACATGGCAGATCTGCCCGAGGGAAAACATTCTTCTTTTGAACGGACGGATGATAAAAAAAAAAAGAATATTAAATGACAGGCTGATTTCTTTCCAGGGTGGAATGAAGCATGCAGGAAAGTAGGTGAAAAGCAAAATAAATTCAATCTTTTGCCCGGAAATCTGAAACCTCCTTCCTCTGAGGTTCGCAAAAGGCCAGTCTTATCCCCAGCCTACGTTTTAATCAACTTCCTGTGGAGCTCTCCGGTCCAGAAAATAGCTAATTTCCGGCTTAATCTGGCTCTGGTGGGTTGTAAATTTGATGGTGATTCCACTTCTACCCCTTTTCAACAGCTGCAGCCGTAAAGATCATGCCTTCGCTATCAGTTGCATACTGTAGCGGTAGTCCTCTATTTACGACCGTTTAGTGACCATTTGAAGCGGGCATTCATAGGTTTCCCTGAGCCATAAGAGGAGAGCCTTAGTAGTCCAGGTTGGGGGGGGGGGAGAAAAAGAAATCAGAAGTTTGGTAGCGCTTTTTCCGACAAGTGTTACGACGTTTGTGGAATAAATTTAATTAAATTAAGCTTTTGTCAGACGCAGCTCTCTTCATCCATAACAAACCCATTTTTCCCTTCCCTTTTCTCACCCAACCCCCTCCTCATTTAAACCTTAGATCAATCTAGCCATTCTGTGCATCCGAGGAAGAGAATTGTGGCTTACAAAAGCTTTAAAAAGCCTTTTTGTAAAATGAGCTATTCAGAAAAGGTGCTCCCAGTTTTTTTATTCTGATTTTTTTTTTGTTTTTTCTAAAGAGATTTGCTTGTATATAGAGAAGAGAGCGCGGGACACTTTTTGATAGCTAATTGGGTCAGAATATTGCAATGCAGGCCAATAAAATCTCGGGTGGGATGGAGGCGTCCCTGGGAACTTCGTCACGATTGAGAGATTTCAGTTTCCTCTTTTTCTCCTTTTTCTCCTTCCTGCCATCCCAGGGAGGAGGACCAGAAGATTACAGCAATCTCCCCCCGGAGCAACGAAGAAAGAAACTCCAGCAAAAGGTGGATGAAATCAACAAGGACATTCAGAAAGAGTTGGATCAAAGGTAGATCAAACGATATGAAAAGAAGAACATTGAGGCTCCAGAAAGAGTGCAGAGAAGAGCAACAAAGATGATTGGGGGACTGGAGGCTAAAAGATCTGCAGGAATTGGGTTTGTCTTGTCTAAGGAAGAGAAGGACTAGGGGTGACATGATAGCAGTCTCCCAATACTTGAGGGGCTGCCACAAAGAGGAAGGGGTCAACTTATTTTCCAAAGCACCAGAAGGCAGGAGAAGAAACAATTGGTGGAAATTACTCAAGGAGAGAACCAACCTGTAATTAAGGAGAAACTTCCTAACAGTGAGAACAACTAATCAGTGGAACAACTTGCCTGCAGAAGTTGTGGGTGGTCCAAGACTGGAGGTTTTTAAGATGAGATTGGACAGCCATTTATCTGGACTGGGATGGGGTCTCCTCCTTGAGTAAGGGGTTGGACTAGAAGACCTCCAAGGTGTCCCTTGCAACTCTGTTACTCTGTAGCTAAAGTACGAATTCAGAATGCTTTTCCTGGCTCTGGTTTTACAGAATAAATGCAAAAGCCGGTTCCCAAACTGGGAAAGTTTTATCTTCCAGCAGGAATGCCGCCCATTGTGGGTGAAGAAACCTGCCTATACGATAATTGTTAGAACTAAAATAACAGTCTTTGGTCATGGGGATATAGTGACTCTAAATGGACTAGTACCTGCCCACTCCACGTGCTGAAAAGGCGTGGACAGTGATTTTAAGTGCCTGGCGGATGATGGCTCTTCCCTCTTCCTTCACAGAGAGGCCTTAACGAAAATGAAAGATGTCTACATCAAGAACCCCCAAATGGGGGATGCAGCCAGCGTGGACATCAAGTTAGCTGAACTCGGACAAAACTTGGAGAAGCTGAGGCTGGAAATACAAAAATTTGAGGTAGGGAGTTATCTAAGCCAGAGGTCCCCAACCTTTTGGGCACCAGGGACCGGTTCCACGGAGAAAGGCTTTTCCACGGACCAGAGAGTACGTGGTTTTGTGTGCTGCCTGCATCCCACGGATGGGGCTTTGTTTGTGCAGACCGGTTGCTGGCATACTATGGCCTGGGACTGGTCCACGGACCGGGGGTTGGGGACCCCTAATCTGAGCATCAGTTACGGTGTTCTCCTTATCCCGCCGGGCTGGTCAGATCCAAATATTTTTTCCAAGAAGCTGAAATATATCCGTCAGCTTTGCAAGATAATCCAGAGAAAAAGCACAATTCTCTCTCTATTGTCCGGTCACCTTAACAGAATCTTGCAGGACTCTTCTGAGATGTTTCACCCGACCCTTTTCCATCTCTGGGCTGAGATACCTTTATCTGCCGTTCTTCCTCCCGTCTCCCAAGGCCGTTCCCACAGACCATTCAAGTCCCTCATTTCCTGTCCTTCTCGGCTTCAGGGCTGGTTAGCGGAGGTGGAAGGTCGCTTACCTGTCCGGACAGAAGCGATGCGCCGCCAGAGTGGAGCGTACGAGCCCCAGAGCAACACCTTGACCGTCACCAACTGCGTCCAGGACCGAGAGAGGTACAGTACCTGTACAGTGCAGGTGGCAAAGGTTTGGTGCCCTGCCCTCTTGGATGCCAGCCTTGTGAACGGTGGTGCAACCCTCACCTCGCTTTGATACTTGATTTCTGTGGCACCTTTCTCTCCTCCAAGAACAACAACCTTGAGAGGTAGGCTGAATGGAGAGGAGTTGGCCCCGGGGTTCCTAGAGAGCTCCCGTGTCTGACAGCCGTTTGGAATCTGGTTGCAATCTCAGGATTAATTTCCTCCGAGATCTCTGGATCCCAGGCAAACTGATCTCAGCCTACAGGGGTGGCTAGGTTAAAAGGGGTAGAGTCATGTTGCAAAAGTTTAAGAGATTAAGATTAGATTGAGATAAGCTTTATTGTCTTTTTTTTTTTACTGTGAGTGGCATGTTCCATGAGCTCAGGTGCGTTGTGCATTTTGTTGCCTGGAGCACACACCCTGCAAGGCAGCAGACGGCTCGTGTTGCAAGCTGCAGTGGGTTGCAGCTGCCAAAAAAAGCCGATGCAGTCCCAGGCTGCATCGACATATGTGCAGCTTTATGCTGCACTGGTGAGGTCACACTGGCAATACTGTGTCTAGTTTTGGTCACTGCAATATAAAAAAGAAGTTGAGACTCCGGAAAGAGTGCAGAGAAGAGCAACAAGGACAATTAGGGGTCTGGAGGCTAAAAGACACAATGAAAGGTTGCAAGGACTGGGTAATGTCTAGTCTAGCGAGGAGAAGGACGAGGGGCGACGTGATAGTATTTTTCCAATACCTGAGGGGCTGCCACAGAGAAGAGGGGGTCGACCTATTCTTCAAAGAGGTCAGAACTTCACAGCAGAGATCCAGGGTGAGGGGCAGCGTCTCCTCCCTTCTTCTTCCCCCCCAGCCCGTCTGACAGCTTGCTATAGTGGCTGCCTTCTCTTGCCCTTTTGCTGTCTTGAGCAGTCCCGATGGCGGTTACACAGAGGAACCCAGCCAGGAGAGTGACATGAAAACGCCGACGACCGAATTCGACGATGAATTTGACGACGAGGAACCCCTTCCCACCATTGGCACCTGCAAGGCTCTGTACACCTTTGAAGGTAAGGGGGGGGGGAAATTCCCCAAACAGGGCCCAGCAGCTTCTGGTTCAAAGATTCTGGCGCGCCCTTTACAAAAACGCCCAGGACTAGCCTGCTGATGCAGAGGATGTGACCTGAATTTAGGGGTTTTTTTTGGGGGGGGGACCGCCCGTATTGATCCACCTCAACTTCTCGTTTGCAGGACAGAATGAAGGAACCATATCCGTGACGGAAGGAGAAACCCTGTACGTCATAGAGGAAGACAAAGGGGACGGGTGGACTCGCATCCGGAGGAACGAGGATGAAGAAGGCTACGTCCCCACTTCCTACGTTGATGTCTTTTTGGAGAAGAATGCCAAAGGTAACAGGGGTTATATAGGTGGTCCTCGGCTTACGACTACAGTTAAGCCCCAAGTTTCCGTTGCTAAGCGAGGCACTTTTTAAGTGAGCTTCGCCCCGTTTTAAGACCTTCCTTGCCCCGGTTGTTAAGTGAATCGCTGCAGTGCTTAAGTTAGTCACACGGTTGTTATGTGAATCTGCCTTCCCCCCCCTTGACTTTGCTTGTCAGAAGGTCGCAAAAGGGGATCACGTGACCCCCCTGGGACACTGCGACCGTCATAAATAGGGGTCCGTTGCCCAGCGTCTGAATTTTGATCACGTGACTATTGCCGCAACGGTCGTAAGTGTGAAAAACGGTCATAAGTTGCTTTTTTCAGTGCTGCCGTTACTTCGAACGGACACTAAAAGAGCCGTTGTAAGTCCTTTAGTGTACATTTCTTCCTTCCCCCCCCCTCCCACTACTCTTATTGTTTGTTTTGGTTTTGTTTTGTTTTTTTAGATTCCTAAAGGAAAAATAAATCAAGAAGTCAGTTGCTGTAACAAGAGCTTCGGGAGGAGCTTAGGCACAGGAGAAGAAACGGATGATTGGATTTTATGATTATTTTGAAACGCGTCCCGTTTTCGAAACCACCTCTGGCGTTTGCGAGCGTGGGATGAAAGGGAGGGAGAATGAATGAATGAATGAAGCCCTCGTGGAAGGAGAATTAAAACTCCCTTCTAAAACTGTCCTTCAAGTTCACCCTTCATTGCTTCTTACGTTCACCTGCATTTCGGCTGTGGCACCAAGGAATCCATCCTGGCTGGGGGTTCAAGCGATTCCCACCGCGGCCTTCCAGATCCAAACTGTGGGATCCCCTCTCTCCCACCCACCCCCCAGAGAAGGGGTGGAATCAGAGCTGACCCTTACTCACCCATTTTCTCATCCCAGATCCTCAAAGGATTTTGCAAACAGGTTTTTGTTTCTCTTACGCAGCAGGTGTGAAACAGGGATTTCCGTAGCCGGTGTCTTCAAAACCAAGGTATTAGATGGATGGTCTCACCACTAGATAGAAATTTGAATTCGCAATGAAGTCTGAAACTTTACGTTGGGTCCACAGCTAATTCTAGGGCCTAAGGCTGAAATAATTTTTGTTTTAATCTAGCAGATCTACCTAATAGTCTTCAGCTTGGGTGTGTGTGTGTGTGTGTGTGTGTGTGGCTTTGCGCCCTGTTGTGATTGCTTGAGAAGAAAATGGAGGAATTGGAAGGATTCTGCTTAGAGCAGAAGATGGAAATGTTTCCTATTTGGAGTCTGTAGGACCTCTTGGCCACATTGAGGAGATCGCTTCCATCCCCATTGGTTAGGCTAGCCTGTATGGTCCTCCTTGAGGACCCTAGATTGGAGAAGAATGCAAAGTTCGTTCCCCTCCAGCTGGGTGAGTGGTTGTGTTTGGTGTGACCCACACCACGGTGTGGTGGGGGGACCCCATTTCTCCTGTCTCTGCACTGCACTCGCTCCATCTGTCCGTCACATCAAGATCCAGAGGAGGCTCATCGGAAGGAGAACAGGCTTCTATCAGGGTTTAGACTAAGGCATATTGAAGTAGAGTGTTAGCGTGATGTATAAATGAAGCTGCAGAGTTTGGCCATTCATGGTGAGCCAAAAGTGTGCCTTTCCCAGACCAAGCTACCCATGTTCAGAAACACCGTTTTGGTCCTGGGTTCAAGCAGTTCCACAGAACCTGAAAACGTGCAGAAAGCGGTTCAGAGGTCCTGGTTTTAGGCTGCTAAGATGGTCAAATCAGAGGTGTCTTTTGATAGCCCTGGTGTTCACCAGGACTTCGGTTCCATGGCTCACCTATGCTAAAAGAAACCATGATGTGGTCTGCAGCTCTCCTGCAGGCAGGAATTCAGATTTCCATTCTAGGAAGTGCCTAGGGATAATGGATCCCCTTCGTCCTATAGACCTCTTAAGTAAGAATTAGGGATTTTGTTTCCCCCGGGGTCAACCTCGGTGGCTTGAAGAGCAGGTGGACTTCAAATCCCACAACTCTCAAGCCAGGCCAGATGTTTGGCTGATGAATTTTGGGAGGAAAGGCCAGGAAAACTGGCACCAACCCAAAACCTTGCTCAGCTCCCCAGGGATCTGTCTGCCCACCTGCGTGACTTTTATTTCACCAACATTCTTTTTGCTAGCCAACATCATTCATGTCAGTCTTGGTTTCTTTCTCCCTCTCGGCTTGTTTGTTCACTGTTCTGCCCTCTCTGCGTCACCCGGGTCGCTTTCTCCTGCCCTTTTAATTTATTAAATTATTTTGCATGGCGCCTCTCTAAACCCACTCCCCTTTTCTTGCACGTCCACTCCCGTATTTATTTATTTCAGCTTTTCCCAACTCCATCCTGCTTGTGGACTCTCTTGCCTCGGGAATAGAAGACCTCCAAGGTCCCCCCTTCCAGCCCTTGGATTCTGTGATCCATCCAGCCACATTTCACTGTGATTCCCGCCCTTCTCAGATCCTGTCTACTCTCAAGTTCCATCCGTTTTTAGTTCCGTTTTGGGGGCTGCGCCATCAAATCAAAGTTGCAGCGTGGTCAGCGTCCCCAAAGATCTACGATCTTTCCCAAAACTGGAGCCTTGTCGCAGATTCACTAAGAAGGCTATTGCTGTGCCGAGTTCGAGAGACTGACGGTTTTGAACTCGCCTCTTTCTCAGGAGCCTCTGCAGTTTGGGGAGCCAGAAGGGGACTGGGGTAGCTCCGGATGGCAGCTTCAACGAGCTGTGCCTGCAGCCTAGATTTGAAAGACGGAGCAATCTCTCCAAGAACGGGAGAGTCAGATCTCGTTTCTCCCTCCAAAGAAGTGAAAAGGACTAGCTGGAACTGATTTTCAAGGAATTTTTGAAGGATTCCCTGCCTAGGTAACGCATCGCCAAGAAAACTTGAGTTTTCCCGACATTTTTTCGGTGGAGAAGGTCGTAAGCAAGGAAGTGAAGAGTTGGAAGCTGAAGTAGACACTGGAAATACCCTCCAGATCAGCAGTTTAATACGAGCGGACTGTCAGTATCCATTTGTGGATATAATTGCACCATTCTAACTCCTTCCACCTCCTCACCCTTAAAATATCCTGGTGAAAGAAAAGTAAAACTTGACTGCTACAAACCTCAGCGAGCTAGGAACAACTCTAGGAATGGCCAGCCTGGATTGGCTGATGATTGGGAGACCAAAAGCCCAAGAAAATAAATTGAGCCTCCACCCTTGGGAATAGTCTAACTGTGGGGATCAGAGGCTGGGGAGGGGGGGCTTTGCTGCAAATGAGCTGTCAACCGCAGCGTATTTGTGTACCTGCCTGTTTGGGGTGGGCATGGAAAATTCAGGGAAGGGGCTTTTTTTTTCTTCAAAATTGCTATCCTGGTGGGCCAGGCTGACCCCCAAACCTTCCTCAAGCAGAAGGCAGACTAGCCTTCTAGAAAGTTTCCAGGGAGAATTTGAGGAAGCCCAAAGCAAAAAATAAAAAATTAGTTTCAGCATGATTTGGCAAGAGAGCTTCCTATTTGCTATTCGATTTAGGAAACTGCAGCTTGGGACAGTGGCTGAGTCATTGGCGCAAAACTAAATTGAGGGACTTCCCAAAATAAACATCCTGCTTTGGTTAAAAAAAATCCCATTTTCTTCTCCTTTCCCAAATCTGGTGTCCTTAGAAAAGGATCTCTCTCTCTCTCTGCTCTCTTTTGATCCTTTTCTGGGAGCAACTTCCCTCCCCCCCCAAAAAAAATAAAATTAAAAAATGCTTTTTGTAAGCATCGTGTTTGGTGCACCACCGAATCTAAGATCTCGCTAGACTATTCCTGACCAGGAATGTCCACGCGGAGAGAGAGAGATATACCCAACTGTAGTTTGTTTTCCACAAACCAAGGTTACAATTGATGGATGGGTTCAATCTCCTTTTTTTATTCAGGTGCAAAGGCTGAAAAAAAAATATAAGATGAGCTGTGCCATCATTATATTAGGGAAAGACCCGCCAAATATCTGTCTAGCTTAATATTTCTGCAAACCTTGATATGACATGGGTTTAATTTGAAAAAAAAGAGAGAAGTGGATGAGTTTAAGACATAGAGGAAGGGACATTTATCAATTCTTTCATTTTTCAACCCTGGAATAGGAGCGAATGCCTAAGACCCATTTTCTTTGAAATGCTTATTTTTCATGCAACAGTAGAGGGAAAAAAATGTAAGGACAGAGAATTGTTATCTGCCCTTAATTTTAATTCAATTATGTTTTTGGTTGCCTGTTTTACAGGGGGACTTGGCTTCCCAAGGCTTAGCCACACGCCTCCCCAAGATGGCTGGGGGGGGGGGGGGAAATACTTAGGAAATCATGGTGCCAAAAAAGCTGTAGTTTTGAGTCCCGACATATGTTTTGATTTGGAAGACTTGCTTTTGAGATTTTTATGTCATCCTGGGAACTTTCATACAAATGGCATAATAAATTAAGAGGTTTTTTTTCAAAAAATCTTCCTATCAGAATATTGTCCCTCGACCCCGGAACCCCAGATAGAGACCCTATGTTAGAATATATATATATATATATATGAAAAGTTTCATCTATGCTTAAAAAGCATGCATGAAATTTTTAATGCAGGGCCTTAGAGGTATGAATTTGAAGTAGACAAGTAACACCAACAGTTCCTAAAATGTTTTTCCTCGTTAGGATCAGACTAAAAAGACAAGATTATCCTGGCCTCTCAACTCATCCTCTACTCTTGCTAACGCCCTTTCTTACCATCTGTAAATAGACAAGAGAGAAAAAAAATATTTACTGAAAAACTGTGTTTTAATGCTGAGTATTTTTCAAAAGTTCTGCGTACTTCCCATCCCTCCTTCTCATGCTTGAAGTGTCAAAAAGATTTAAGAAGAGAAAAAAAACCCGCCAAATTATATTTTAACATAAAATGTCAAGCACTTTTTGTTTCGTTTTCATTTTTTAATGGTTTACTTCTGTGTATTTAGGCACTGGATTCTTTTTATGTAGGTTTTTGGTGGCAACTTAAATGTCTCTGTGTATGTATGATTTTCCTAGCTGAAAAAAGGTGTAAAGGAAATCCGAGTTCTAGTGTTTTGACTCATTTTATTTCTGGCAACAGAATTCAATCAAATAAAGTGCTTCCATTTGAAAGCGAGCGGAGACTTGAACCATGATTGCTGCACATTGGGATGGATTTATTAGAAATGTAGAAAGGGAGGGGGGGGCAATGACCAATTTTGCACCTATATGCTTGCAACAGAACACACAGTCCTTGACTTACGACGAGAATTTCCACTGCTAAGATGATGAAGTGAGTCGTGCCTTATTTTGCCATTCACTAAGTGAATCACAGCAGCCCGTCTTGGCTGCATTCTTTTTTTCTTAATTTCTTTTTTTCCTTCCTTCCTTCCTCTCTCCCTCCTTCCTTCCCTTCTTTCCTTCCTTCCTTCCTCTCTCCCTCCTTCCTTCCCTTCTTTCCTCCCTCCCTCCTTCTCCCTTCCTTCCATTTCTCCCTCCCTCCCAGAAAGGGAGGAGTGGACCTAAAGAGACAGAACAAAATGTCGGTTTGACAGTTAAGCCTCTATTTTCTATTTTTTAAAAAGTTTTTAAAGCAGTGCCTCTGGTTTACAGAGCAGGCAGACCTGTCTGCAAATTTGTTCGGTTGGAGAGACATGCAACACGAGCCTGGAAGAATTTCCAGACTGGAGAAGGCGGGACAGAGAGAGGGAATCTGTTGTTAATCAATCAACACAACGGCAAGTGGATCCTTTGCTAGTTCTCCCAGCCGAGGACTTGCTTGATGCTCTGGCTGGAGCAAAAGGTCCCCAAGTAGAGAAGATCACTTTTCACCTTCTCCTGTTGCAGTTGGCTGGGCTTCCTACCAAAAATAGCAGAGCGTGTATGTGTGTCTGGGGTGTGTGTGTGTGTGTGTGTGTGTGTAATTTTGTTAGGCCTCTGGGAAGGATGGGTTTAAAAAAAAAAAAAGCACCCCAGCCAGCCATAAATTATTAACCCCAAGAGGAAAACTGTGAGCTCAGAACAGCTGCTTTGGAAAGTTTTTTTTTTAAAAAAGAGAGATGAAAGATAAGTGACAGAGACCAATTTTTTCCCCCAAATATCAGGGACCCAGGGGGCAGTTAGCTCTCAAACCTCAATTTTAACTCAGGTTTAGAAGCATCTGGAGGCCCGTTTCAAAGCTACCAGCGAAGATCTTAATTGTCAAGTACAGGCAGTCCTCGAGCACAACTCAGCTTAGCAAACTTAAGTTGCTAAGCAAGGGAGTTTTGCCCCATTTTAACCGCCTTTCTTATCACGGTGAAGCAGCCCAGCCAGCTCAGATCGAAGCAAGGCAACTTTGACAGGCTTTTGAATGTGAGCGAGTTTTATTGGCTGATGTTTTTGGCAGGGGAACAAAAAGAAAACCAATGGATGAAGCGTCCAAGGTCCCAGTCTCCCCAAAGTGGATCCACGCAGGACAAAACAGGGCTGCCCCAGAAGGACTGTGGGAGGGAAGACACAGCAAGGACAGGTGGCATCCAGCAGGTAGAGGCCAGGACCTCTTTTTGGGTGGGACCTAACCCAGCCTTTGCCATCGACGTCTCGCCTTCAAAGCAGCTTCTCCCGAGTCCACGTTTCATTCTGCATCTCTTCCTCCGGCGTTGCTACCACTCCTTGGTCCAGGAAATAGTAATAATAATAATAAACTGCCTTGTTAAGGGCGATGCCCTTCCCACCTGGGTCAAAAAGTGAGGTTGTGTGTCGGTGTGCGAGGCAGCTGCAGAGTGACAAATCGCTAGGACAGCAAGAATCTCTGCTCTCTCTCGAGGATTAGCATCCGGGCCTCTTGTCGAAACGGTGAAAAGCGGAGACGTGCAAGAAGCCAGCTCTTAGTTCACGTCCAAAGTGGGATTGCCTGTTTGCTTTGGAGGGGGGGGGGACTCTCTTAGCTCCATCTTGCCCTAAGCATCACCCAGGTGGATGAGAAAGTCATGAATCCCCCCCAAGGAAATTTTGCAGGAATTTGGAGTGAAGGTCAGCATCGATGCACAGAGAATGGGGGCCCTCGTTTGCTCCTTCCGGGACCTGCTCAACCTCTTTTCAGTGCACAGATGTGTAGAGTTCCCTTACTTCTTCGTCACATTTTTTTGAGATTTCTGTAGCATTTGGGTGTGCAAGGAACCACTGGATGAAGATTCAAGCCTGTTTGTCGATGTGCCTTGAGGTCCATGCTTGGTTTTAGGGGTACCAACATTACCAGCTTGGGCTGGGAAATACTTGGGTGACAGGAGGGGACAGAGACGAGAAGAATCAAGGACAATCCATTCCTTGAAAATAAATAGATAAATAGAAGGGAATTGGGGGCTGCGCCCAACTCTTTTCATCAGTACGGGAGAAGGGCAGAAGAAATATATTTTGTATGCCACAAAAGGGAGGGGGGGAACCTTGTCGCCCCACGTATTCCTTTCCAACGAGGTTCTTTCCAGGCGACTGGCCCCAAATTCAGGAGAGGAACCAAAAGGAGAACCAAGACAATGGTGCACCCCTTCTTGGGACTTTCTCCAGGAACAGCTCGAGTCACAAAAGGCCAGCCAGGTGGCAAACGGGAATGGTTATGACGCCGGCTCCTTCCAAGGGCGGCCCCAACTTCTCCGCAAGAACCCTTCCCGGCTTCTGCCGACGATGGGATGAGAAAGCAGGGAACCAAAGGCAGGCAGGAGCTCTTCCTTGCCTGGAACGGGACGATCTTGGGACAAAAACAGGCAGGCGAGATGCTCTCGGCCCCCGGCGGGAGGAGCGACCGAGCGTCAAATTAAGACGGGGGGGGGCAAGTGGCTGGCTGGGGACAGGGCAGGGGGTGGGACGTGTGTCGAGTTCCAAAACGCAGAAGGAGTCTGAAGGGGGAGCCGACCTAAGGAAAGGAAGGACGGAGAAGTCAGGAATCATTAATACAGGCAGTCCTCGGCTTACGACCACCGCAGAGAGCCCGACGTTTCTGCTGCTAAGTGAAACATTCGTTAAGTGAGCTCTGCCCCGTTTTACAGCCTGTCTTGCAAGCTGAATCGTTGCAGTGGTTAAAATGAATAACACGGTTGTTAAGTGAATCTGCTTCCCGTTGACTTTCCTTCTCAGGAGGAAAGTGAGCCCGTTGCCAAGCGGCCGAATTTTAATCACGTAACCACTGAAAAAAGGGCCCTTTTATGACCCCCCCGTGGTCAAAACAACCAAAGGCAGGAGACAAATACCACCAGTGGAGGGCTGAACGTCCCCTTTGGGCTCTCCAGGCCCCTTACCTGAACGTCCCCATTGTCTTACGCTGCTCTGGTCTCAGCTTCGATCTTCTGCTCCCCGTGGAGGCTTTCCACCTCCTGCACCTGGGCCACGTTTTGCCGGATGGCGATCTCGGGGCCTCCGCCGTAGAGCGTGCTCAAGTAGATCCAGGTCTCCTCCGAGATCTGCCCGTAATCGGCTCCTGGAAAAGGCAGGAGAGCCCGTCAGGAGCAACATCTGAACTCAGAGCCTTCACCACAGATCAAGGCCCGGCGGAGTCTGGCGTGATTTCCCTCTTCCTTACCCTGTTTGACTTGCATGTGGCCGCTTCCTTTGGCCACGGCGATTTTGGTGTTGTCGATCGGGCCAGGGGGCTCTGCTGGAAAGGAAACAGGGCTTGTGAGTCCGAGGGTGTAGCATTGAGGGCAGCCTCCTACTCTGGGTGTGGTTTGGACAGAGGGGGCTGCCATGCTCCCAACCGACCCCCTCAGCGGAGGCTGAAGCTACGCACGGAAAACAGAGGTGCCTTTTTAAAAAGGGGCTTATAGTGGTTTTTAAAATTATTTTGAAGCATTTAATAAAACTGGTTCCTTTAATAAAACACTGGCTCCTTTGCTTCTTTTTTTTTTTAAAAAAAAATTGAAGTGTTTAATAAAACTGATTACTGGTTCCTTGGCTGGGTTTTGGGTTTATAACTCTCCCGGTTATGATGTTCAGCAAGAGCTACTTAAGGGAAACTTCGAATCCCAGGGCTTGCAAGACTGACCAAAGGGGATTCTGGGAGTTGAAGTCCCACGTCTGGAGAGCATTTTCAAATCTCAGAGTGCTAAGCAATAGCGGTTAAAGCATCAGGCTAGAAACAGGGAAACGGTGTGAGTTCTATTCCCGCCTTAGGCGCCCGGCTTTCGTCCTCCCAGTTCAATCAGGCAACTGGGCAGGCAGGGAAACGGCTGGTCCAAATCTTTGCAGGCTCCCCGTCGCCACCACTGCCCGGTCAGCCTCTCCCCAAACTGACCGTTGTCCTTCCCTTTGACGAAGGCCTCCCATTCGCGGAACCACTGCATGCTGATGCAAAAGATGACGCTCGGACACTCCTCGGCCTGGAAGGCTTTGTTCAGCTGGGGGGGGGCAAAGGGGCAGAGGTCAGTCTGGGGGGCTCCGAGGGGGTCAAATTAATCAGAATAGAGCTGGAAGGGATCTTGGAGATCCCTGCTCAAACAGGAGACCCTGTACCATTTCAGACAAGGGGCTGTCCAGTTAAAAATCTCCAGGGATAATAGCACCCACAACTTCTGGTGGCAAGCCGTTCCATTGGTCAATTGTTCTCACTTTCAGGCAATTTCTCCTTAGTTCCAGGTTGCTTCTCTCCTTGACGAGTTTCTATCCGTTGTTTCTCGTCCTGCCTTCCGGTGCTTTGGAAAATAAGTTGGTCCCTTCTTCTTACTGGAATGCTGCTATCATGTCTCCCCTAGTCCTTCTTTTCTCTGGACTCGCCATACCCAATTCCTGAAACTGTTATGTTCCAGATCCCTCTTTCCAGCTTCCCAATTCTCTTCCCAAGTCTCCCCCTCCCCCTGAACCCACCCCTAGGCTCCCTACCCCACCAGCCCAGCCCTGGAGACGTCGTTACCTTGATGAAGGTGTCAATCTCCATCTTTCTCCGCTTAGCCAGAGCTTCGATCTCTACCTGGCACACCGAGCAGACGTAGAGGTGATTGACGGCTGGGCCGCCCCCAAACCTGAGCACAAAATGAAACCACACTGCATCTTGCGCCCTGGAACTGAACCCCCACAGAGCTGCTGTACTCTGGACTGACCAGGTGCATTTTCCTTGGTCTTCCCATCCCTTCTATTCATCCTTTTAGTCTTATTCTATTTCTTCTACTCTGCTCTACTTCCATTTCTGTTCTAACTCGTGCGAGGCAACCATAAATATCTAACATGCCCAATAACACAAAAGCACAGCTACCAGTTCTTAAAAGGAAGGAAGGGGGGCAGCCCTGTGTTTCTCCTGCAAGTGGTTTTCCTTGGAATGGACAGGAGACCAAGAGGAAAGAACAGTAACTCCAACAATGGCTGAACCACTGGGAGACAAGATTCCTTACCTGTTATACAGGTATTCCCAAACATTCTGGGGAAGAATTACCACCAGATCATCGATATAATGGTATTTATTCGGTGGGATTCCTACGGAGAAAGATAAACAGAGTTCAGAATGAGGCCGCTTGAAGTTACTACAGAAGTGGAAAAAAGTGACTTTTAATCAGTCTTCGCACTTATTATTGCAGCGTCCCCCACAGTTGTGTGATCACAATCTGGGCAACCGGCTCGCATTTACGACGGTCGCAGAGTCCCGGGGTCACACGAACCCCTTTTCGCGACCTTCGGACAAGTAAAGTCAATGGAGAAGCCAGATTCACTTAACAACAGAAATTTTGGGCTCAGTTGTGGGGGGTAAACCGAGAACTTACCTGTATTTGGAAAAAAAAAGGCTAAGAACCCCACCCCCCGATGTCTCCAAACCCCAAGAAAAGCCCCAAATGTTGTTCTGCAAGGAAGGCGACCCGCAGCGCCCCTCACCTCCGTGGGGGCAGAGGAAGATGTGGTTGCTGATGGGTCCGGGCTCCGTGAAGGTGTTGAACTTGTTCAGCCATTCCCGGGAGATGTAAAACTGCAGCAGGCCGGGCTCCTTCATGGTGGCCAAAGAGACGACTTTCTGGCGCTCCCGGACAGCCTCCTCGCTGCTTTTTCTGCAGGGCGGTTCGAAAGAAAGAAGAGGAGGAGAGGAAGAGTGGAGCGGTTGGGTCTAGTGGGAAAGGTACCAAGCTAGAAAGTGGGAGACAGCGAGTTCTAGTCCCGCCTGAGGCATGAAAGCCGGCTGGGTGACTCTGGGCCAGTCACCAGGAGACAGTGAATTCTAGTCCCGCCTGAGGCATGAAAGCCAGTTGGATAACTTTAATCCAATCACCAGGAGACGGTGAGTTCTAGTCCCGCCTTAGGCATGAAAGCCAGTTGGGATAACTTTAATCCAATCACCAGGAGACGGTGAGTTCTAGTCCCGCCTTAGGCATGAAAGCCAGTTGGGATAACTTTAATCCAATCACCAGGAGACGGTGAGTTCTAGTCCCGCCTTAGGCATGAAAGCC